TTCAACTCCTAATACCAGGTTTTATTATTTCTTTCCTGCAGCAATTTTCAATGATTATATCTCCTTTTTTTTTCAAAGAGGTAAAAATTTTGAATCTAAGATATGACAAGCCACGGGTGCGGCTTCTTAGCTTTGGTTTAGCGCTTAAATTTCCTCGTCACCTTGATTCATGATGGATACCAAATCCACTACCCCTGAAAGAATCTTGTTAGGACATTGTCCTCCTTTCAATGACTGCATTAACGTAGCTCACTAAGGTGAAGGACGGACCAACAGAAGAGGTACAGATGCCTTAGGTAACAGCTCTGGCTCTGCCATTGATTTGCTCTCGGTCTGGGCTAGAGGTTTTCTTTCTATATCTACTTTCCTGGTTATAAAACAGAGATTTCGCCTGCATTCTCAGGCTCCTCAAAAGCCAGTCCTGAATAGTGCTCTCCTAGCTCAGGGGAGAATTACCTGGGAACTTAAAGAAAAATACCAATACTGATGCCTGAGTCCATCCCCCTATTCCACCTGATTTAATTTGCCTGGGCATCTTGTCTTTCCCAGGTATCTATTATCTTGATTGTGATGGATGTAGACATATGTCAAAACTTATCAAACTGTACACTTTAAATATATATAGTTCACTGTATATCAATTATATCTCAATAAAGCTGTTTAAAAAATAAAAAGCTTTGAGGCCGCCCCATGGCATAGTGGTTAGGTTCATGTGCTCTGCTTTGGTGGCCCCAGGTTCACGGGTTTGGATCCTGGGTGTGGACCTACACACCACTCATCAAGTCATGCTGTGGTCGTGTCCCACATACGAAACAGAGGAAGATTGGCACAGATGTTAGCTCAGGGCCAATCTTCCTCACCATAAAAAAAAAAAAAAAAGCACCTTCCAGATTCTAGCAGGCATCTCAAAATGAGAACCACCAAGTTAGGTTAACCTCTTCCTTTACGCAGATAAAGAAACAGCCCTAGAAGGGAAGGAATCTGCTCAGGAATCATGTCATGACTGGCAGTACTGCCAGGACTTAGAACCTGTGACTAATGAACTGAACTCCAGTGTTCTTTCCTTAAAACCAAAATGAGAGAAAATTACTTAGCTCCTCGAAAAATTTAAAATGAGGCCCTTGAAAAATTTGAAGTGCTAGGATTGTTACTCAGGGGTGTAGGGCACGAGAGCTAAAACAAAAAACAAAAACCCACTAGCCTTTTCTTGGTAGAGTCACCACTTAGAGGTCAGCTGGTTGTCCTGTGATCGTATTCCAGGCCCACCCTCCCCTCACTCTGCCCACTTTCATCACAGTCCAGAGGAGCCGGTAGAGCCAAAGAGGAAAGCAACACGTCGGCAGCTCTCATGCGCTGTTCAGTGGCCTGTTGGCTTCCTCTTTCCTTAACTCCAGACTTACTAGTTCCAACCACCTTTTCAGTACTTTTACCTCAGAGTCAACATGTTCAAAACTGAACTCGTCACCTCCTTCTCCAATTTATTCCTCCTTTTCAATTCCCTATCTTAATAAAGAGTACCATTATTCTCCCAAACAGCCACATCAAAAAAAGTGCTTCATCCTCCACACACAAGTGGTGTCCATTTATCTCCCTGAACCTCTCCCAAGTACATCCTTCCTCTGCTTCCTTACAGTCACCTCAGTGTAGGTCCTCGTCATTTCCTGCCTAGACCTCCCGACTGATGGCCCATCTTTCTATTGCTGCCTCTTGCAGCTAGAATAATCATTGAAAAACACCACAGATCATGCCATGCCCCGGCTTGAAAACCTTTGAATGATTTCCTCACGAAAAACAGGATGAAGCCCAAACTCCTGAGCATGACAATTACCATCTGGTCCCAATCTCCCTGTTTCATATCCTCTCCCACCCCTCTTCCACTATGCACGCTGGGTTTCCATACATACTGGATCCACTTACGACTCTGTGTCATCATACATACTATTCCGTCTGCCTACAGTAGTGGATCTCTCCTCACTAACTCCTAGCTAAGAGCTGAGTCTTAGCTTAAATATCACTCCAGATTAAGTTAAATACTCCCTCTCTCCTATGCCACGCTGGACCTCATACACAACTCCATTAAAGCAATTATTCCATTGTTTCATGGCAGTCTATTTCCACATTTGCTTTCTCACTAGCTTGTGAACTTTAGAACAGGCCGTGTTTTTGTTTTGTTTTGTTCTCATCTCTACATCCCTAGGACCTGGCAAGAGTCTGGTATATATAGGTGTATAAAAATATTTAATGAATTATGAATTTCTTTTATGCTTCTTTCATTCTTTCTGAACTACTGAGTGGGTGACTAGCAGCTGGGTGGGCAGGAGGATCATAATTTAGGAAGCCATGGTTCAGCTCCGGTCACATAAAACCCAGAGTGACCTAGGGAGTCACTCTTGGTTCCATGCGGCTCCATCAGCACTTAAGTTCATTATTCCTGTAAGCTGTGCTTGGAAGGGTGGATACATTTAGCTGCTCCAAAAACTCAACGTAGCCAGTTTCTGCGATCAACATGCCTTTCAGCAAGTAGTAGTCTGTCCAAACTCTTTATTGCTCTGGGCAACTTAGTAATGAATTGTATCACTCTTTGGCCTGTTGAAAGGGGGGAGTGAAGTCAGTGACTACTCTCACTCCAACCTTAAGCATCCTTTCCTTCAAAAGTAAAGGTGATCAACAAAGGGGCACAGACGAATAAAAAATCTTTTAAACATTGGTTGGAAAATGTGAACAAGATGGCTACATTAAAATAAACAAAGATAGCTGGCCTATTCCTATTACAATATGCCTCTAATTAATCTAACTTTGGATATTAACATTTTAACAAATTATTTCAGGGAGCCTTTCTCAAGGGAGATAGGACCTCAGAACCATTCCCATTACTCAGTTGAATCCCTCATTTTATTTTGAGAGGAAAGGAGGGAGCAGAAATACCATATGACTTACTAAGTAGCGTATCATAGACTAGGTAGACAGGACTTGACTTCCCTAATCTTTTTCTTATGTGTTTTCTTGTTTAAAAAGAAAGAGAAATTAAGGACTGTCAACAGGGTGACTGAAGGAAAATTCTCTAAATGATTTTTACTTCTGAGTCACTCATCATGAAATCCTATACACATAAGATGATTAAGGACAAACCTTAACTCCTGAGAAGCTACTTCTTTTAACAAACTATATTCTGAAGAGTAGAGAACATGTTGCTCTCAGCAATATTTTAATGAATACATTAAATAAAAAACAGTTTGGGGGAGGATCCAAAAAAGAAATTAGGACAACAGACTGGTAAAGCTGTCCCTGGTATCTCTTTCCACTAAATAAAAAGATAAATACAGAAATTTTACACCTACTTAATTTTCCTTTAGAAAATTAAAACCCTTTGTATAAATCTTAAAGATTTTATTTTTTTCCTTTTTCTCCCCAAATCCCCTCGGTCCATAGTTGTATATTCTTCGTTGTGGGTCCTTCTAGTTGTGGCATGTGGGACGCTGCCTCAGCGTGGTTTAATGAGCAGTGCCATGTCCGCACCCAGGATTTGAACCAATGAAACACTGGGCTGCCTGCAGCGGAGCCCGCGAACTTAACCACTCAGCCACAGAGCCAGCTCCCCTTTGTATAAATTTTAACATACTAATACATCAAGCAACTTTTACCAACATGATCAATTGACTCTCTTTTAAGCTTTGGATCACAGAAACCATTTGTTCAGCCACGCCTGCCTCTGTAACTCTTGGCAAACAACTGTATTATCAAACAATTGTTAGCTGGGGGCAGAGGCAACAGGGGACAGAATCCTGGTGAATTACTATTCCCCGTCCACGTTCCAGTCTAAACATGGGAAATGCGGATTCCATTATTAAAAGCCACGACACTTACAGGTAAACTCCCTCACCACATCTGGTTACTAAGGTACCCCACTTTTTCTCTCTAATGTATAAGCAAGTCCCTTGTTTTAAATGTAAGCAATCACAGGTTAATATTTGTTTTAACTTTTTATTAAGAAACTAAAGCAAAACACCAGAATTTCCAAAAATTAAAATACAGAATTCTAATTTTAATTCTAAACAAGTATGAAATCTACATCAAGAACTAAAAATCAGAGTTTACCAATATTTAAGAATAAAGGGGAATGGCTAAAATGCATCCACAGTCATTATTTCTTCCTTATTAGCCTCAGATTAGCATCCCTTTCCTTTGTGCTTCACTTGGACAGAATACAGAAAGAATTCTCCCTCATCTATCTTTTGTTACTGTAGTCTGTAACTTCAGAGTTTGTTTTCCTACATAGTTTTTTCTCTGTTCCTTCAGCAAATACGTGAGTACCTGCCTAATGGGCTAAGATGATGTGGGCATAAAGATGAATCCATCAGAGATCCTGTCCTAAGGTGTTCAGGGGAGATAAAACACCAAGAAATAATCAATAAATATAAATAAATTTATACAAGGTATAAAGTAAAACAGCACAAGTATAGATAAAATATAAACATAGGGAAATTTCAAGGAAAGAGAGATTACACTCAGCTAGAGGAGTTGAGGAATGCTTTATGAGGGTAGTATTTGGGTTGGGAAGGGAGTATTCCTTCCAGGAAGGCTTCAAAGTGGTCCTGATTGTGGTGGTTTTGACTTCTGGGAAGTAATCTTCTCAATACTAATCTTTAAAATAAGGTCCTTAAGTTTCTATCTCTTCAAACTGTTCATTTTTTTTAAATGATCAAAAAATATTAATATTACAGTCTATATAAACAGCAGTTTGGGCACTTAAAAAGTTAATTATACCTACTATATGGTTTAGGGCTCTGTTGTTTTTGAAACTCTTTCCCAGGTCAAGTCATATCTGAGAGGCGAAAAATGTCTAATAATTGAGCCATAACTTTAAGTCTTCAACGGCAAAACCTACTTGCTTTTGGTGCTTACATGAATAAGAAAAAGGAGATGAAATAAATGGCTTAACATTCAAAAGTCAGACAACGAAAAAACTAGCAACTATGAAATGATATATATTAACAACAGAATTCTTTGTATGAAAAGTTTTAATGAATTATTAGCCATTGACCATTACAGACTTTAACCCTTAATATTTCTTCTTTCCTATGTAAAACCAGATAATTTAAAACAGCCTATCTCAAGTATGACAGAAGACCATAGTATGAATAAGAGTAATAGTAATGTTTGCTTACACATCTGCATGCTTCACTAAAGTTAAGAACCAAAGAAAATGCTCCCAGTTTCCCAAGTCAACAAAGCAAACTCAATTACACATTTTTTCCTGATCATAGTTTCAGCTGAAAGACAACAAACACTACTTTGCCTTTCAATAGCACTTATTATCCATTGCACAAACATTTTCCCGTTATTTTCTCCTTTACCCTCAATATCCTTGTGAGGTAGTGAAGGGAGGGAGCAAGGATTTCTTTAAATTTTGCAGATGAGAAAACTTAAGGTGAATTTAGAATGCAACCTTGGCAGCAGATTGAAATCACCTGGGAAGCAGACCAACATCAGAATCTTAGGGTATGGGAGCCAACATCAGTATTTTTCAAGATGCACATGACTCCAAAGTACAGCTAAGGCTGAGAACCACTGGTTTAGAGGAGTTATACTCAGTCTTCAGCTGTGACTTCTACCTAAACACTCAGCACCAATGAAAAAGAGATTCCATTTCCTTGAACGCTGTAGCTGTTTAACATTCTGTGCAGCTACTATTGGTCTCCAGTAATGAATCAATCAGGTTAGGTATGAAGGCTCTTCATTCCCCTGATGTTTAGGGTAAATATGAACCTCCATTTTATAAAATTTGCAAATGGGATATTAGGAAATTTAAATTTTTGAGATAAGAATGGCTTGTTAAATATTTAGGCAATTCTTTGATTCTAGGTTCAATACGCACTCACCATGTGTTTCTGTGTTCCATTAAGCACCTTCAAAACTTTGTTACAAGTGAATGTTTACCAATAAGACAAAACAGAAGTTATAAACAAAACTCTCAGTAACAGCTCTTGGAATTAGCTGTATCACAATCTGAAAAAGAAACAAGTACTGAAAGGACTTTATAGTTTTCTAAATAGCTCAATCTTCATCCTGAACCAGTTCTCTTCTTTACTTAAACTTTAAACTTTGCCAAATTGAGTTGTTCTACACCAAGAAAAGTAAATTTCTGTAGCAGCTATATTGTCTAATATAATTTCACTCTGTACTATTAAATATGGTCTCCAGGAGATTTCTTCTTGACATGGGTATCAAAAAGGATCTGTAACAGATTTCACCTTTAAGCAACATACCAAATGCACAATAAATATTTGTAAACCTGTCAGGTGGCAAAAAAAATCTTTGTTCATGACTGAAATCCCCTGCTTCATAGGAGTACTGATAATCTTAACTCTCAAGGAGCAACCCAAGAACCCCAGCCAGCTGCTTGCTGTCCCTAATTTTATTAGATTTAAAACAAAATACACATACAGTAATAACCTAAAAAGTACAAAGATTCCACTTGCCTTAGTCAATTCTTATCACAAAGATGTATCTGAAACCATACAATTTATACTTTCATACAGAAAGATGATGCTGTTTCTCTTCTAACAAAAGAAAATCTCAGCTCATGTATGTTGGATTATTAATTTAAAAGAGTATTAGTGAAATCAGATTTATTAGTCAAAAATTCAGAACAGGAATTAATGTTAAGTTCTTCTACAATGAAACTTTCAAAATATTGCCAACCTGAAGGTTTCAGCACAAGGTGTTTTATTTCAAGTCCCATGGGGGCAATTATCTATAATGAGATTAAGAACACATTCTTAACCTGGGTTCAGGTTGGCACTGTTTCAGGTGCATGAGTAAACATTTTTTGATAACCCCAAGGAAGAGTTTGAGGCTTAGACTGTTGCATGATGTAAACAATATGAAATTAAAAAAAAAATTATAATATCTGCAGCATTATAAAGTTACAAAATAAAGGGACCAGTAATCAATTCCTTTCCTAAAGTCTGTGACTAACAGCTTCCTTACTTGAGTCCTATAAGAGCAAATGGCAACATTCGGTGTTGTTATGAGACACTTTCTCAGAAGGCCAAAATATAAAACCAGATACTACAAGATGCACATTATCATTACTATTACTGACATATGTATGATTAGAAATAGACTCGCCTTCCCTCATCCTTAGCCAGGAGATGAGGGATTTTAACAATAATTTTGATCTCTAAAAAAAAGACTGTAATAGCTATGGAAACTGTAAACCAAATATAATACAGAATCAGCCAATACAACACATCTCCTCTTAAAATCCTCTTCTTTGTAGTTACCCAATTGTCCCTAAATGTTACTCTAATTTTGTACCATGTAGTGGTTTTTAAGAAACTGAACTAGAACAAAGAAACCCCTTTGTCCTGTGTTTTTTTATACAGTTTTTTTACACACATATTGTATATACAACTTTTAAAATAGCTGCACAATTTTACATCTCACTGTTAGAGAAGTGCAGTCCAGGCAGACCATGCTTCTCAATATATTAAAAATATTAAATAAAATCCAACCAGTTTCATACTTTTCTAATAGTCAAGCTGGCTGGAAAAACAGGTCTGGAGAAAAAACAGGCAGTTGTAAAACAGGATCAGTCTTTCTTCACAAACACACTACTTAACAATCTTGCTATTTCCTTATCTTATCCCTTTCATAGCATCTCTAAAATCTCACCTTAAAAGTTGGAAATAACACACTGCTGACTTAGAGACAAAATCTGTTGCAACATGCATATGTCAACTGCCCACTCAACCAGCTGCAACCCTGAGGATTTTTCTGGCCCAGTAGAAAGAGGAAACACTAAGATAATCTCTGCTGTAAAGCTGCTTCTCCAGTTAACAATTTCGTGTGTTTTTCAGGATGTTTCTTGGGCATGCATGTATGACACTGTCACTTCATGATTCTACTTTCAACAAGCAGATATCTCCTCCACTCTGTCTTTCACCCCAAGAAAGCCACTGTCATCCATCCAAAGGTTTTCCAAGGTAAACCAAAGTCACTTCTGTGTTGCCATATACAGCAGAAACTGCTGGATATAAGCAGGCCTTGGGAAGTCCTCTAAAGGCCACCCCCAGGAACTCATATCCACGTTCAAAAGCTAAAGTCTTATCTTCCATGTCCAAGATGACGCGAATTCTTTCTCCTATCTGCAAAGACATCAAAAAAAGGTTAGAAGAAAACCCATTACAGCTAGAAGAAACATGATACAAATCACAATATATCCTAAAAGTTATCTAGAAAAACCAGAAGAGAACTTTTCAGAAGAAAAGTATTCTGGTCAGGGAGAAACATCTAGAAGAAAGAACATTTATCAATTTCACCACAAATGCTTCTTTTGATAGTCTTTTTTTTAATTTTAAGACTTGCATGGGATCTACATTTAATACTGAGTTTAAATGTTCTCCCGAATAGTCCCCAGATTTTACTTACTCTGTTTATAGGCTTTTCTTATGAAGGTTACCACTAAAATCCATAACTTGGAATATTTTACCAAAAAAAGGCTATCTAAATAAGCTTTTCAAATTATTACAGTATATATATATATACATACAATGGAATATTATTCAGCCATAAAAAGAAACACAGTTTTGATATGTGCTACAACATTGATGCACCTTGAAAACATTATGCTAAGTGAAATAAGCCACACACAAAAAGATAAATATTGTATGATTCCACTTATATCAGGCACCTAGAATATTCAAATTCATAGAGTCGGAAGTAGAACAGAGGTTACAGAAGCTGAGAGGAGGGAGAAATGGAGTTATTGTTTAATGAATACAGAGTTTATGCTGGGGATGAAGAAAAATTGGGGGTATAGAGAGTGGTGATGGTTACACAACATTGTGAATGTATTTAATGCCACTGAATTGTACACTTACAAATGGTTAAAATAATAAATATTGTTGTCTATACTTTACCACAATAAACAAATTACTATAATAAAACACACAGCATTTAAAGTTTACAAAACAGTTCTATATACAACGTGGAACTTATATAATCAAGAACAGCCAAATCTGACTCCAGATTCTAAAGATGCAGAATAGGTTTATTAAATAGTCACTTTGCAGGCAACTGCTCTGAAACATCTGTTTGTTATAAAAACAGCAGCACTGATTGTTAAACTAAACTGGAAGCATAACGTATCCAGTTATTTTCCCATTTGGAAAAGTAAGCAAAGAAATAAGGATGTTTTATCTTCATAATTTGCATCTATAAAAAGTTGTTGCATCTACATACTTAGAAGCAGAAAGTCCTAACGTTTGCAATCAAAAGTCATAATAGTTCCCAATCATGGTAACTCCTGCTGTTGTCATTACTTCCCTTCATTGTATTTCCTGTCACAAACTACAAACATCTGCTTTTTTCCTCCCTTTGCCCAACTCACAGTTTAACCCACACCCCATTTTATGGTCCTAATCATCATCACCACTACTGCCACCAAAAACCTTAACAACAACAAAAAAATTGAAACGAAAAGTTAGTGTTTTGTTGGGTATTCATTTTATGCTTTATTTGCATTATTTCATTTAATCCTCAGATCAATCCTAGGAATTATCCTTATTTTACCAAAGATGACACTAAGAAGACAGAATGGCTTCTGGTGAAATTTGCAAGTCTGCTTCACCTTTGACTGAGCACATAGCATGCACCCAGCACAGGCAGCAGAAAGCAGACGTCTTAGTAGCTCTAGGTGTCAGAGGGCAAAGCTTGGAGAAGGCAAAGCAACTGCAAACTCAGAGAAGGAACTCCAGAAGTAACGGAAACACAAAGAGGATGAGCCCCAAAATCTGAGGATAAAGTGCCCACATTCTTGTGTGACCGCTGTTTTACACAGACATAGGGGAAACCCTCAGAGAATCAGGCTGAAAAAGTAGCAGCTAGAAGACCAAAAACCTGAATGAAGACATTAGCTGCTGCACACCATGGGGGAGACAGGGTTTACAATTTGAGTCCAGGCAAGTTAATTGCTTACTAGAACACGAAAACTTACACTTTTCAGAAAAGCAAAGTAATTTCTAGAAGAAAAAACATTCCAGAGTTACTACTACATATTACCTGCAACGTCCAGTTTTCAATTCAAAAATTACTGGAAAGTGCAACTCATTCTCAGGGGAAAAAAGCAGTCAATAGAAGCTGACTCCAAGTGGGCCTAGAGGTTGGATTTGGCAGACAAAGACTTCAAAGCAGTTATTATCAATATGTGCAAACAATCAAAGAAAAATCTAGTATTAATGAATGGACAGATACAGATTCTTAATAGAGAAATGGAAACCATAAAAAAGAACCAAATAAAAATTCTAGAGCTAAAGAGCACAATAACCAAAATTCACTAGCCTGACTTAATAGCAGAGTTGAAATGACAATAAAGAATCTATGAACTTGAAGACAAAGTAACAGAAATTATCCAATCCAAAAAATAGAACAAAGATTTTTTAAAAAAGAACATTGCTTCAAAGGCATAGAGATATGGAAAATATCAAGCAGTCCAACAATTATATTAAATTTAAATGGATTAAACACTCAAAAAGGCAGAGATTATGAGATAGGGTTAGATAAAAAGAAAGACCCAATTATACACTGTCTAGAAGACCCACTTTAAATACAAAGACAGATTAAAAGTAAAAGGATGGGGGAAAAGAGGTACCTTGCAATAGTAAGCATAAGAAAGTTAGAGTGGCTATAGTAGTATCAGACAAAATAGACTTAAAGACAAGCAATATTACTGGAGTCAAAGAAAGTCATTTCACAATGATAAAAGAGTTCATCAAGTGGGGAAATATAACAATTATAAATGTATATGCACCTAATAACAGAGCTCCAAAACACACGAAGGAAAAACTGACAGAACTGAAAGAAGAAATAGATAAATTAGCAAGTATAGTTGGAGATTTCAATATTCCTCTCAGTAAATGATAGAACTCGTAGAAAGAAAAATCAGTAAGGATATAGAAGACTTGAGCACTGTCAACCAATTTGACCTAATTGTCACTTATAGAATATTCCATACAAAAACAGGATATACATGCTTTTAAGCACACATGGAACATTCATCAAGATAAACCATATGTTCGGAATAAAACAAGTCTCAATAAATTTAAAAGGACTGAAATCATACAGAGTATGTTCTCTGAAAAACAAAGACTAAAGGACTTTCACTACAAAATCACCACAAGGCTGGTCATAGGACTTTATCTTCAATGATTATTAAGTCCAAACACCCTTCTCCTTAGGGTAATTCCAGAGCCTGAAAGGACAGTGAGGAAAGGATTCTGTGAAAGAAAATCGTTCCAGGCTTTTATACCTCAGGAAATGAGATATATTTTTAGTTCTTCTACTTTAGTATGCCTGACTTGAGGTCATTACTAAGGCTAGAGCTTTCAGGCCACATGTTCCACTGAAATATGCAATCTATAATTCCTTAAAATTTCCAATTTCTTATCAGATTATTTTAACATTCTTATCAGATTTGTTTTAGACTCTGCTAAATCTATGGTAATCATATAGCTTTTACAAGTAGGAACTATAGTTATGACCCCAGAATCAAATGAGTATGGCGTAAGGCTAAGATGAAAAGAATAAAAAATACAGTAGTTTGCCTGAACTTGTCTGTCTTCACAGAAATCTTTGACACAAACAGATTAATAAGTAGCAGAGGGTGAGTACGTGTGTGTATGCACATAGGCGCGTTTGTGGGGGTGAGATGTCTAGAAAAAGTAGATTTGGATGTGCCATGATATAGGAAAGATGACAATCTAGAACATGAGTTGGTAAACTATGGCCCCTGGGCCAAATTTGGCCTGCAGCCCATATATAGGTTTTATTGTAACACGGCTATGCTCATTTATTTTCTTATTATCTATGGCTGCTTTTGTGTTATAAAAAGAATTGAATAGTTATGACAGAGATCATATGGACCACAAAGCCTAAAATATTTACTACCTGGCCATGTACAGAAAAAGTTTGCCAACTTCTGATTTAGAGCAAAGATGGACTGCTCAAGGTCAAATATGTATTAGGAAACAAATATTGAGATGCTAAAACATTATTATCAGGGTGGCAAAAAAGGTCAGTTACATTATTTATTTAAAAATTACCAAAAATACACAAAGCTATATAAAATTTTGTAAATTTAAAATAAATTAAGTCATGAATTGACAAAGGCCCACATCTGAGAAAATACCCAGTTTCTCACCTGATATTTTGGTGCATTGTTGCATTGTGGAAAACTGCCATTGACTTCTCCATTATGTAGCAGATTATTGTCCACCAGATTCCAGCCCCAGCTCTGGTCATCACTGCCCAGCAACGCCACATAACCTTGGCACTGCATGGGGGCCCGTTTTGTGGCAATTCCAATCACTGCCACAGTGCCCAGAGGGCCCTCCCACCACACCTCCCACGCATGGCGGCCCTCACTGAAACCAATCTTGGTCCTTGCACCATCAGTGCTCTGAGCAATGGGGTTTCGATGTAAAGTAAAACCATTCTTCTTAATGTAGACATTCCTGGAGCAGTCATTAGTGCTGAAGGCATGTTGGAAAGCACGTATCTGAAAAGATGAAAAACAGACGAAAAAATGGAAATTTGGTTTTTCTTAAATATTAAAAAGTACCCAAACTATAGGCTACATGTTTTTAAACAATAAAGTTATATATTTTTAAACAACACAATGAGTATTTCCAAAAAATGGCTGAAGTGTCAAGATGGGATACTAACATAAATTGTATGACATTTAAAAATAACTGCCAACCGTTTCATTATTGACCAAAATTCTAAATGTAGTATAATTTCTCCAAATAGACTTCTTAAAATATCAAGATATACACAGAGTCCTTATAGAGATAACACTGAAATGTTTATGGATGACATAATGATATCTGGCAACTGCTCTGAAATATCCAGGTTTGGAGTGGGAGAGCGGGTGGGGTAAACAAGAAACCAGACTGCCCATGAATTAATCATCAGCAAAGCTTGGTGATAGGTATTGGGAGGGTCATTATTTTCACTACTCTTGTTTACATTTGATATTTTTATATCAAAAAGTTAAGAGATGCACAGTTTTCATGTTGGCAATGTTGTCATTAAAAAGAATATTTTAAGTAAAATAGAAAACTTAGTCATAGCAGCTCTAAAGTCTATGAAAAATTTTAATAACCACAAACTATCTTAGATCCTCAGCCTCCTTGCTAGGTATTACTCATACACCCAAACAGCACCACTCTCATTTTACCAAATCAAATAATCCCCTAGATAGCATCTAAATGCAACCACTAGAATTTAGAGAGATAGTCATTAAGAGCAGCTACCAATGATGGGCCAGATTAGCTGATATTCAGTAATTATCAGTTTTTTAAGCTTCCAAAATAAAGAGAGTATGAAAATTGCTCCTCTGCACAAAACATAGCGATTCCTCATGTTTTAATAATTTAAAGCTTTTGGTTTGTATGTTTTTTAAAAATCCCTTCTTGGGGCTGGCCCTGTGGCTGAGGGGTTAAAGTTCTGCATGCTCTACTTCGGTGGCCTGGGTTTGCAGATTTGGATCCTGGGTGCAGACCTACTCCACTCATCAGCCATGCTGTGGAGGCATCCCACATACAAAAAACAGGGGAAGACTGGCACAGATGTTAGCTCAGGGCTAATCTTCCTCAGGCCAAAAAAAAAGGAAGATTTGCAACAGATGTTAGTGGGGGTGAATCTTCCTCACCAAAAAAACAAAAACAGTCACCCAGTACAACTCAGGATGAGGACGCAGACCCAAAAGTCAATAGCTTGTTAGAGCAAGAGCCCCAAACAGAAGCCAGGTATTCAGTCCCCTCATCCAGTGTTCATGTACTCCTAGCCAGTACTTCACTGTTTCATTGCTGCACTCCACAGCAGAGAGATTTGAAACAAAAACAAAAACACCTGCTTGTTTCAGGTATCTCACATTTTCATAGGGAGGCTGTAAAACCGAAGTATTCCTACATTTTTCCCTATCTGATCCTATTTATAATACACTTTTAAGCACCTAAAAGATCAGAAGATAGGAATAAATGGAGGAGTAAAATGTCCCCAAAATATTAAATATTGCCTAAATAACTCAAAGATTACTCTCAAGACAATTCACTATATTTAATACTTATCTATGCCTACTTCTCAATTCTTATACATACCAATTGCTTTTGCTCTATTCTTATTCTCTTTGTCACACTGACCCTGTTACAATCTCTTCCTCAAACTTTTATGACATCTTCCTATTATCCTGGACTGATCCTTCACTGTATCCTTTTTTGGTGACCATTCTGCCTCTGCCTCCCAAAACTCTCCAGAACTCAATCCTTAATCCTCTCCCTGAATTCTTTCCATCCAGACTTGTCTTTCTAAAACAGCACCTTTATTACAACTCTTCACAGTTCAATAACCTTTGATAGTTCCATACTATCACATCAACTATAAATTCTTCTGCCTGGCCTGCAAAGCCCTCTAGATCTGGTTCCTCCTATTTCCCTTTCTAACTTCATGTTGTTCTCCTTGTCTGTAGTATCATAACTGCTTTCTCCTTCCATGTATCCTCTAGGACCAGCTCTAGTCTTACCATCTCCATGAGGCTATTTTTAACCAGGACCACCCAACCTCCCTCATTTCTCTCTTCTGAATTCCTACCCACAATATTCTGCACCATACAACACTTGATTCTGTACACACCTCAACCACTTGATTCTTGTAAAAAATATCTTGCCCTCTCAAAATCTAATCTAACCTAAACTGATCAAACCTCAATAGGAAATACAGAAGACAGAAGAACATGTTAAGCAACACCATGAGAATGAAAACTGTGAAATCCAGACTGAAGGAAACACTACAGGGTAAACAACCGGATTTCTTCAACAAATAAGTTGTAGGGGTAGGAGGTGGGGAAGATGGAGGGTAAATTTGTAGACTAAAATAGCGTTAAGAGACACATAAAGTGTTTGCCATGGGAACTTTATATAGATCTTGATTAAATAAACTGAAAGTTAAAAATACAACATTTGACATTTATGAGATAATTGGAAATTTGAACACTGCATTTTTTATATAAAGGAATTATTGTTAACTTCTTTATACTTTAGACGTGATGATGATATTGTGATTATGTTGTGTTCTTATCTTTTAGAGATGGATACTGAAAAATTTAGATGAAATGGAAAAATAAATACACAAATTAATAAATAAAAACAATCTATGTCTCACAGTCTCATGCACAACCTGGATTTTACATTATAGCAAACAGATTTAAAATCTAGTTTAGGATCTAAGTCTGAAATTTAGAGAATTATAGTTAGCTGCTAAGTATGACTGGAAAAATTCATGTTACCTGGCGACATGTAAAACTAACTTTTAAAAAGAAGACAAATCCTAAACAGATTGACAACTCCAAATACTTTCCAGTTTTGTGCTATCCCAAACCTGTTCCCATCATTCTCTCAGTTACCCAGCTTCCCTGGAAATTCTATCTGATTCTTCCTTCTTCCTCATCTCACTCATCTAGTCAGCTGTCCACCTAGCTGGATTTGTTCTCTGTAACTGCTCTCCCAGCCATCCCCTTCTCTCCTCTACACACTTGTTCAGGTCCTAAGTATCTGTGGTATAGGCACTAACCCCTGCCCTCTCCAAGTCATCTTATGGCCTAGTTTTTCTAAAGCACAGCTCTTCTTTTGTCACTCTTCTGTTCGAACTTCTGTGGTTTCCAACTGTCGAACAAAGCCAAAACTATAGACTGAAGGTTGTATTTCAAGGACCTCCACGATATATCTACTTTCAGCTTACCTTTACAATCATATTTCCCACTACTTCAATTCGGTCTAACTAAACTATTTTCTATCTCTTTAGCCTCTCCTCTAAGCTCCAAACTGTAACAGCTGCCTATATGAAATCTCTTGGATGTCTCAAAAACACTGTAAATTCTACTCTACCAAAACTGAACTTGTTATTCCTCCTAAATCTTGTCCAGGTGATTCCTATATTATGTAAGCCAGATCCTAAGAGTCATCCTTAGCACCTCCCTTTTCCTCACTCCTATTTCAAATCGATTGCCAACTCCTGTAGATTTCACTTCCTAAATCTCTTCTAAATTTCCCCTCATCTCCTCTACTACTTACTTCCTAACTGATCTACCCATATTTCTAAGGTCCCCACTGAATCTGTTCTCCACACCTAAAGTTAGAAATAACCTCTTAAACATGGAAAATAATCATATTACCAATCCTGACTCTCCTAACCCCTTCTTGCTTACAATTCAAAATGGCTTCCCCATAGTTTGGCCACAGTCCACCTCTTCCATCTTATCTCAAATCTGCTTCACCTTTGCTCTCTATGCTCCAGCCACATTGATGTATTTTCTGTCCCTCATACTCATCAGGTTCCCTTCTAGAAGGCTCTTCTCTCTCCCCTTGGCCTATTCATCTTTATCCTTCAGGTCTCAGCTCATGCATTATTTCCCCAGAGAGAGCCTTCCCTGACCCTCCCACCTAGGTCAAATCTTCCATTACAGACATTCAGAGCACCATGTATTGTGCCTTCACAGTACTTACCACAGAGGCAATTTTACAACTGTGTCATTACTTCATTAATATCCATTTTCCCCCTACTAGACTGCAAGCTCCACAGGGCAAGGCATCTGTAAGAGTTTGTGTCTGGTTTTATTCACCTTTGCATCTGCAAAACTGAGCATAGTGCCTGGCACTCATATTGTTTTAAATAAAAATATATACTGTACATATATTTGCTTTCCTCTTGTCCTGCTTTTGTTCAGGGTATTTCCTCTTACTAAAATGTTCCTTCTCATCTTTTAAATTCAGCTCAAATGCAATCTCAACCTCAAACCTTCTTCAATCTTCCACTCAACATGTAAATCTCTCCTTTCAATGAACTTCTAATATATATTTTTATATCTCTAACAATTAGGAGCAATTTCTACTATGTGTTAGTTCTTTCTATAGATTCTTTTCTCCTCTACTAGACTGAGGACTTCCTTACTAAGCTATCTGACTTCTTTTGAATTAATCTTTTTATCCTCAAGATATTCAAAAAAGTCCTGCAATATCTGAATGAATGTGTGATTAGTAGAAGCCTACAATACCTACAGCACATGTAGTAGAAAGACACACAAAGTATTAAAAACTTAAGAATCCTAAACTATCTCTGGACTGATACAACAGAAATGGGTAACACAGGCTGCCTTCACGAAGGGAAACTGGGTGGCTGGGGGACAAGGGCAAAAGGAAGACATTTTGCTTTACACTATTTTGCTTCTTTTAAATGTTGACTCTCATGAACACATTATCTATTACATATTATTACATGAATCTTGAATCATGTGAAACATATCAATTACAGACCAATTACAAAAATGTCTTAATTTAAAATAAGTAAAAACAATAAACTTATTGGAAAAATAAAAACTAAATAAAACTTAGGAAGACTATACGTTTATCAGGCCAAGTAGGACAAAACCGCAATCTTCTGCACCCAGCTATATAAATTACACCTAGTACCTTTTGAGCATCTACCACGTACAAATACTGTCCTAGTAAATTAACATGCTATTTCACTTAACGGAAAAACAATTTGACAGGTGACATATTTAACAGCAACATTCTTTATCTTATTAAAACCTGCTTTATTACAGAAGAATAAATTTTACACTATTTCACATGGAAAAAATAATTTACTTCTTACTCTGACCTCCGTTGTCAGTCTGGCATTAAAAGGGGACGTTTTCCCTTTCTAGTTATTATGGTTTACTACATTCCACGCCTGACTTTATCCTCTCTCAGATATGCTCTTGGTGACTGCTACACTAAATAGCTGTTATCCATCCAACTGAATTCAAGCTGAAGACCTTTTGTTTATATTGCCTGAAGAATCCTCTCAGCCCTGCCATAACCTGTCATTTGACATTTTTATCTGTATATGAGGAAGGCAGAAACACGCACAAGAATCTACAAGGAAAAAAGGCAGCAAAACTGGAATCAGCACGTTAGATGACAAATAGAACAGAAGAGACACACTATCAAGGTGGAACTATGAAAAAGTTGGCAAGGCAGTAGCCAATAATAGTGGGCAAAGCAGTATTATGACGGTTAAGTGGTGCCGATGGGAAGATGTTCTGTTAAAGCCTTATCTTGAAAATTAGTAGGATGCCTAGAACCACACTCACTTATAAGCCTGAAATACAGTAGAGTCAATTAAAGAGAACTTGAGCGAAAATAAAGAAAAAATGGTTATGACTCAGAACTTGGAAAGGGTGAGGTGAATGAGGGGTGAAAGCAAAAATGTTCGAAACAAAGCCGATGTTAGAGGCAGCCGAGACGATGTGAGCCTATCTGGAGGGCAGGGAGAAAAAATTGGATGAGAGTATCGAAAGGTGCAACAATGGGGGTGGTCTGTCTGGAAGGGGAAAGACTGTGCAAAGTAGGATGAGTGATGGAAACCAGGGATGGGAAACCGTATGGTCCTTTAAAAAGTGTATCACGGAAGTGGGATGGGTTGAGGAGCAGAACTTCAATCCTAAAAGAGGATCATTATGGAGGGGGAAGGTGAGGGAAGGTATTGACGGGAGCCGTGGAAAGGCGGGATGGTGAAGCGAGGCGTCTGACTCAGAAGCTTAGACTAGAAGCACTGCGAGGGGGCTGGAGGAGCGGGACTGGGGGCAGCGGCGTGGCCCGGGGCTCCCTCACCTTGGCCTTGTAGCTGGGCAGGTTGCAGAGGATGTCCGTGCGCAGAGCCTCTTCTGCCAGGCTGCGGGCGCACAGGCTCCGCCACACCTCGCTGTTCTCATCGCCGTGCAGGCAGCGGTACCAGTGCTTGCACACCAGGGCGCAGCTCCGCAGCTCGGACAGCTCCAGGTAGGAGAACACCAACTCCAGCACCCGGCTGGGCAGCCGGCCCCCGACCCCCGCGGACCCGGAGCCCGAGCCGGCGCCCGCGCCGCCGCCGCCGCTACAGCCAGCGCCGCCCGAGGCTGCCCCAGCCCCAGGGGCCGGCGCCGCCATCACCTCACCAGCCGGCCCGAGGGCCGCCGCCACCACCGCCGCCTCCCCCCGTCTCTGCTAGGGAGGCCAAGCCTCGCCTGGAGACCAGAGCAGCTCGCTCACCGCCCCTTTCACAGCCAACCGCCCGGCCGCTCCACCACTCCCGCCCCTGCCCGGGGGCGTCCGCCGCGCGCCCCGCCTCACTGAGGGCAGACGCCCGGGCCGCACGGGCGTCCCCCGCCCCTCCCCCGCGGCTCAGCGCGGGCGCCGGAACCGCCCGACTCGCACGGCCTCCCAGCGGCGCGCCCGCGGCTCCGCCATGCGGGTTGAGGGCACGAAGCAAGGGCGCACGCCCAGCTCGTCCGCGGTTCCTCTCGGCCCCGGATGTGACTGTTTGGCTGAGGCGCCGGGCGGCCAACGCTAGCTGGGATTGGGCGCTGGTGGGTGACGTCATCACGAGACGCCGAGGAGGCAAGCGGGAAGCGCAGGTATGAGTCGGGCGCCGGTGGGTTGGTGGTTGTCGTCTGGTGCCTTTTCCTCTTTTTGGTTGCGCGGTCCCTTGTAGGCTTTCCTGGGCCTCTTTTCCTGTGAGGTTTCCCTGTGTCAGCTAGGTCCCAGCTTCAGACTCCAACCTAATGTAGGAAACTTCTCTTACCTTGCTAGCCAGTTCCTAGCTCCGCCGCCTTTGGCTTGAGTTGGATCTTTCTTTACCTTTGGCAGCTAAGGTCATCTTTTTCCTTGTCAGGCCCTCTCGTTCTCTCTAAGTACCGAGATTTAGCAGCACGTGTGTCCCAGCGTATATTCGGAAAATGGGGTGGCTGCATTTGAACCTCCCTTCCTCCCTACCCCTTCCCCCGCCCCCGCGCGCAAACGTTGGCTAACCTTAAAGTGCCGTTAAAGTGCTTATTAAGTGCTACGTTCTTTTGGACTAAACGTAGCCTATCTCAGTCTTTCGTGCATTAGTAGGCGGATTAAGGCAATGTGTTTTCATTTAATTAGACAGTCCAATCGGGAGAATGACGTGGAAGCTATAATTATAGATGGCTTTTTGGAAGGGAAAGAATTTCAGCATTATTCGATCAGACTGCGTTTTCCTGGGTGGTCCAAAAAGTTTTCTGAAAGCCTTTAAAGAATGCTTAATAAGAGAAAATAATAACTATCATGTGAGCCAGGCAGTCTACTAGGGTCCTTTATGCGAATTTTTATATAATTCTCAAAACGACTCTGAGGTAAGTAATAAGCAATTATTATAATAATAGGGTTCACGAGACAGTCAACTCCACTGTCTCGTCTTTTTCTTTTTTTTCTGCTTTATCTCCCCAACCCCCCCCCCCCCCCCCCCCCCCCCCCCCCCACATAGTTGTGTATCTTAGTTGCGGGTCCTTCTAGTTGTGGCATGTGGGCCGCCTCCTCAAGGTGGCCTGACGAGCGGTGCCTATCTGCGCCCAGGATCCGAACTGGCGAAACCCTGGGCCACCGCAGTGAAGCGTGAGAACTTAACCACTTGGCCACAGGCCGGCCCCAATGTCTCGTCTTTATGTAGTAAGAAATCTTTCCAGAAGCTCCCCTGCTGTGTATAATCCATTTCTTTTCTCCAGTAAAAACAAAAAATAACAGCTACCTTCTGTACTCTCTGATATATGGTGTTTGATTGTTACTTCCCTTCCCTTCTTCCCAGATGTTTTTTTCTCCACTTAGTAACCCAGATTCTTTTTATTCTTGCTAATGCCAGTGCTGCAGCCCTTCAGTCACTTTGGTTGCTATCCAGTTTCTCCACGTCGTGGCCAACTTTAGAAAATCCAAACGTGAAGAAAAGTTGACGTGTAGTTATAGTGATTGTAACTCTCCCTCACTGTATTATTTGAATGATAGTGTGAACTCAGACTAGGGAATTTTATTCATTTTTCAGCTTTCAGCCATAGGACATCCAAGGAAGGAAGACCAAGTTTTATCTGGAAAGACACTTAGGTTTCTTTTAAGTCTTCAAGGATAAGTAGAGTTGGTCCCTCTGTGAAGGGGGCAAAGAACCAGGCAGAACGAACAGCTTTAAAAGTACAGACACTTAAAAAAGATGGGTGTGTGGAGATAAGACTGGAGCAGAGTATTTAGAGTAGAGATCATTAGCTGTTGGAAGGAATCTATTATCTAATTGTAATTACTCACAATAGGATATGATTAATTGTTGTGCTTGGTTCTTTAGGCATCTGCATATGTGAAGAGAAGCTTGTTGACTTGATACCTGAATGTGGGAATAGTGGCATGTAGCTATTTCTGATGGGCTTTCCAGTCCCAGCAAGAGAAAAATAAGAAACAGTTGCTTGACAGCTCATTTCTGAAAGACTGTTTTGATTTAACCTAGATATTAAATCTACATTTTTTCCCACTTCCTTCCACCATAGCAGTCTGATTGTTTAACACTTTTTGATGGTGGCCTTTGCATGTGTTTCAAATAATTTTAATTTTGCAGACTAAGTGAACAGTGAGTGGAGGGCTCTGGTTGAGTCACTAATAAACACTGCATGGTAAATATTGATTGACTAAAATTAAAGCATCAGAGTGTATGGATTTCTGGGGCTTTCCCAACTCTTTTTCTTAATTTTCCCCATAGTAGGTCTTTATTTTTATTTTTCCGACTAGCTAGGTGATCAATAGATATTATCTATGTGGTGATGAGATTAGAAGTTTAGTATTTTTTTTCCCTTTTTTTCGAGGAACATTAGCCCTGAGCTAACTGCTGCCAATCCTCCTCTTTTTGCTGAGGAAGACTGGCCCTGAGCTAACATCTGTGCGCATCTTCATGTACTTTATATGTGGGATGCCTACCACAGCATGGCTTGCCAAGTGGTGCCATGTCTGCCCCGGGATCCGAACTGGCGAACCCCGGGCCACCGCGAAGTGGAATGTGGGAACTTAACCGCTACACCACCGGGCCAGCCCCAGAAGTTTAGTGTTTTTTACTCTTAAGTGCACAAAGGTTAAGGTGGAGCTGGCCTTGGTCTTGTGAGATTAATAGACCAAGAGTTACTACTGGTTCCGTTATGGAAAAATTTACAGGACCTGTGTTGTTGTCTATAATAGTCCCTTTAAGTACAAAATCCATTTATTGCCTGACCTAACATTTTGGGTTGGAGCTTAACCAAATGTATCTTTAAAATTGAGTTAATCTTTTCAGAAAAGAATTATATCAGAGAAAAAAATCTGCTAAAACTTACCTGCCAGTCAACATTTACTTAGTCCGCTGTGGGTAGATCTGAGATGGAGAAATACAAGTACTAGAAACCCTGCCTCATCTTGTCTTAGAGAAAACCTAAACTCCCAGCAGGGATCTAAAATCTGTATTCACCCCAAATCCTAAAGCTGTAGAGGGCCCACTTCCGGACTTGAAAGTTGATTCACCTTAGAAAAATTAAAACTCAAACTTAGGAAATAAGTGATCAGTACTCTAAAATTCGTAACAGAATTAAAGTTATTTGTAACTTGGCCTTTTCAGTGGTTAATTCAAATTTCATATTTTAAGGTAGGATATCATCTTCATCGTATGATAAGTCAATAGTCACCATAGATGGCTGTTCCTAAGCCTAAATAATATGAATACCTTTCATCTTAAATCGTTTTAAGTATCCTTTTTCTTGGTTTATCTGAAACATTTGGCAAGAATCTTTGTTATGGTAGCAAATTATTTAACTAGTATTTCAGTACTTGTCAGCAAAAATCAAACCACCAGGGTTCCCTGTCTTCACCTTCCTCTGAGTCATTTCCTCTCCAAACCTCTCCATTAAAACTTAGTTGCTCAAATTAGTTTCCTCTAGATGCTACTTGAGTGCTTCTGCTGAAATAAAACGTGTATCTTTTTGTCTTTTTTCATTTTATCTTTATGAAAATTGCTGTATCTGATTTTGTGACCATGTTTCTGTTACCTTGATTACTAGTAGATTAGTGATTTTTTGCAGTGTAGTTAGTGATTTTTTTGTGTTTGGCTAAAAGTGGGAGGAAGTAAGCTTTGTGTTGGGAATAGAAACTTTAGGCAGATTGCCAGATTATTTTAAATGCTTTTTCAATATTAGAAAATTTATCTCTGTGTCATTCAACTAAATTCGAGTATCATGTCTGAAAATAGTAAAGCAATTATGGCAGTTTTTCACTAGATAACTCTCCCTTGGCTTGTAAAAGGAAAAATTAAATTTATCCAGATCGATTTCTTTGCTTCCTTTTGTGTGACCATTTAGAGTTGTATAAATTGCCCTGATTTCTTGTTTGTTTTGCCCAATAGGTAGTTAAGGCAGGTAAGTATTATATGGCAATTCAGGTTTATAGATCTGGGATGCCTGGCATACGGAATCTAAATCTCAAACATAGCTACTACTGTTGTATAAACACAAACAGGTGATAATGTGATTAAAAATTTGTGAATACATTTAAAAGCAGTAATTACTAGTAGCTTTTGGTCATTTTCTGTACTTTCAAAGAATACTAACAAGTAAAACTGTTGTCAAGTGGAATTGTTAGAAAAGAGTCTTTGTTATTTAAAAGTTTGGGGTCCCTTTATGTTGGACCCCATATACAAATCCTAAGGGCAAGATGACTTTACGTAAATTACTTAACATTTCTGAGACTCAGTTTTATCATCTGTAAAATGGAATAATTACCAGTTAGCAGGGTTGTTTTGAGAATAAAATTAAATAACCTACTGATTAGCCTCTGGTGGTAAGACCCAAGGGTTCCAGTTCCCTGGATGGTTCTTGGTGTGGTACAGGTTTTCCACTTCCAGCATGCATCAGAACCACCTGGAAGACTTGTTAAAACACATCACTGGGTCCCTCCCCCAGAGTTTTTGAGGGGTCCAGCACTTTATATTTCTAACAAATTCCTGGGTGATATGCTGCTAGACTGGAAACCATATTTTGAGGACCATTGGTGTAGTATATATGATGCCACTTTGACCAGCCTAATAAAAATAGGAAAAATGATAATGGTAATATTTGTCAAGCACTCATTGTGTACCAGGCACTATTCAATGTGCTGTACGTATATTATCTCATTTAATCCTCTCTGATACTATGAAATGGGTGTTATCATCACCCACATTTTATAGAGAAGGAAAGTGAACCACAGAGAGCTTCAGTAACTAGCCCAAAGTCACCCAGATAGGAAGCAGATATTTAAACCCAGAGATTAGCTCCAGAGCTCACTCTCTCAAACATTATTCAAATAAAAGATAAATCCTGATGATTGTGCAGCCCTCTCTTAAAAAGAATTTTTCCTAACTTAAAATAAATATATTTAATGTTTATTCTTATGTGGGCCTCATATCACAGGCTGAAGAACCTAGCTTACCTGGGCACCTGATTGCAAGGGAAGCCTTAGGCATGTGCCAGCCAGGTGCCCCTCAGCCCTGTGTTCAGCTAGGCTTTTGTGGACTTGATCTTCAAATGTCTTTTTTGGTTGATCGAGTTTTCTTAGATGTCTTTTAGAAATATTTAAATGATGTGTTGCTTATTGCATTTGTCTCCTACTGTCAAGTTCTTATATAAAACATGAGATTATAGTTTTTTCTCTCTCTTCACAGAGTCTGCTGGGCCATTATGGCACTCAAGTGGACTGGTGGACATTCTTCTCCAATTCTCTGCCTGAATGCAAGTCAAGAAGGGCTAGTGGCTTCTGGGGCAGAGGGTGGAGATCTCATGGTTTGGGGTGAAGATGGAACCCCATTAGGACACACACACTTCCAGGGGGCTAATGATGTTACCAGTGTCTTATTCTCTCCTTCCTACCCCACGAAGCTCTATGCTTCACATGGAGAAACCATTAGCATACTGGACGTAAGGTCCCTCAAAGATTCCCTGGACCATTTTCATGTGAATGAAGAAGAAATCAATTGTCTTTCATTGAATGAAACTGAAAACCTGCTGGCTTCTGCTGATGACTCCGGGGCAATCAAAATCCTGGATTTGGAAAATAAGAAAGTTAGCAGATCACTGAAGAGACATTCCAATATCTGTTCGTCTGTAGCTTTTCGGCCTCAAAGGCCTCAGAGCCTGGTGTCATGTGGACTGGATATGCAGGTGATGCTTTGCAGAGAGTACTTGAGTAATTTCTAAATGGAATTTGCTAACTGAATCAAATTATTGATTGGGCTAAATATATCTCTGCATTTTCTATTCTCTACTAAGATGTCTTACCTATTTATGAACCATAAGCTTTACTTCTACTGCATGTTTAATATTAACTTGACAAAGCCTAGTAGATTTTATTTACAAAGTAATTATTAATCGTTTGGTCTTCCTTTCTTTATGCTTTAATACATTCCTAAAACCTGAGAGTTCAAATATTCTAAACATCTGTTCAAATGAAGGGGCACGCTGAAGGCAGAGTTTATCACTCTCTGCAAACTCTGTGTTTAAAAAAAAGTTGGACTGGATCTGTTGTTTTTACTTTAAAATTCTGGAGTGCATTAATTGAAATAGTGTGTATTGGTGACCAGGATCAGAGCATTGTATTCAATGCTGAGTTTTGAGGGGAACATCACAAATTAGCCCAAATTCAGAGGAAGGCCATCAGGAGAGTAGATGTATTTAGAAACCCCATTGTGTGGGGAACTGGAGGTGTTTAATTCTTGGTTTTCATGAGGGGAAAAAGTGGAATATGCTGGTCTAAGTAGAAGTCATAGGGAAGCTGATTTTGGTTTAATAAAAGAAAGGTTTCAAATAGCTTCCACTTTCCCACAGCAAATGTGCTTCCTTCTGAGAGTAAATCTCCTATCACTGGAGTGAGAAGAATCACGGCGTCTCTTTGGTGAGCACTTAATACTTGCCAGTGCTTTACATAGATAAGTCTGCATTCTAATCACATTGTGATAGATAGTTATTATTTCTTTTTTAGAAATGAGGAAACTGAGATTCAAATTGTGTCCACACCGCTGCCTGAATTGGGATTCAAACCTCAATCTCTCTGACTCCAAAGCTTATGTTTTTTTCTCTGTGACACCAGAGATATTCAAGCAGAATATCATCAGTAATGTGGTAGAAAATCTTCTTGGTTTAGGAACAGATGGCTTCTAGAAAAAGAACCATTGTTTATTAATGACCTGTGTTCCCAGCGCTGCGCTAGGCATTTGATCTACATTCTCAACTGTACACGGTATCTTTCTTCTAAGACTCCGTGATTCTCTAATAGCATCAAAGGCTTTGTCTTTCTGCCTTCTTGGCCAATGACCTTTCCCACTCCCTCCTCCATCCTCCACCCCGCTTCGTAATTTAGAAGTAGATGAGGCTGGTTTTTGTTGTTGTCACTATTACTGCCTCACCCCTCCCCCAAGTAGGCAGAATCAGTGGATATCCTGCAGTGCTAGGACAGTCCCTAAACAATAAAGATTTGTCCTGCCAAAAATGTCTATAGTGCCTCTATTGAGAATTATTCTGTGTTTATGGGGCACAGTGACCCTATTACCTCTAAACTTCTTTTCTGCTCCTAGATCTCAACCAAGTCCTTTATAAACCTCCGACGTTTTCTATCTTAGTAGTGATAATCTGCCTATTTGGTTGTTCAACCAGGTGGATATCTGTTTTAAGTAGGCAGACTGTACAGTGTCTCATTGTCTCTTGGATTAGTCGTTCTTTCATCCTTAAGCTATACCAGTTTTCAATCATTGGTTCATTAATCAACTACTAGGCATGGCAGTAAACAATTAGGTGTGCAAAAATGACCTGTATTCTTAATATTAGATAAGAAGTGGCATCCAGAATTTATCTTTTTGCCCTCAATTCTGGGCAAGATGCTTTAGTAGCAGGCAGCTGTTAGAGAATGGTATGGGAAATAAATATTTTCTGAAAGGAAAGCTTAGGTAATTGCTTATTTGATTTGACTGCCAAGAATTGCTAAAAGTTCACTGTAGATTAACTTCTGCACTGGGTTGTGGTATAAAAACAGTGGGTAAGACAGCACAACTATGCGTTTAAGAAATTGCTTCATTAACTGAAGTTGAAACTATAACTTCTTCCACAGTTTACTTCTTAAAACCTGGTTATCCAGTATTCTAAACTTGAAGAACAGCCCAGCTTGTGAGGGAGTCCAAGAATGTAGGCATAATTGTGGAGGGGAGTTGTTGTCAGGTTAATTTTGAGAGTTATTTCTCTCTGAGCAAATGCATTTTATCCCAAGGCAGGAGTTGAATTACTGCCACACACAATAGATATGTTCAACACACCTATCTTTGTCATTATAGAAATTATAAAAATTATATCCTTTGATTTAGCTAAGTTTAAATAATTAGGCAAAGCATGCCTAAAGAGGCAGGGACCTTAAGAACAAAGTGTAATTTATTAAGACATTTAAGACTGCTTGATTTTTTTGTTAAGTAAGTACAAAATAATATTTATAATACATAAATGTATAAAGAATAACATAACATAAATAAAGGTATAAAGAATAATATTAAATAAATACCTGTGTACCCACCACTCAAATATAGTTTTTTCTCATAAAGACCTTTGGAAATTTGAAACCATCATATATTTCTGTAACATACGTGTTGGTTTTTTCCCCCCTCACTTTCGCATCTGAAAATAAATGGTTCAAAGGTTTGTTCTTCTTTTTTTGGCATTTGAAAGATCACTGGTACCAACACTTAAGAATCAGGATGCTGTGGCTGGCCCCGTGCCTGAGTGGTTAAGTTCGTGGGCTCCGCTTTGGCAGCCGGGGATTTCGCTGATTCGGATCCTGGGCGAGGACATGGCACCACTTGTCAAGCCATGCTGAGGCGGTGTCCCACATATCACAACCAGGAGCACTCACAACTAGAATATACATCTATGTACTGGGGGTCTTAGGGGAGAAGAATGAAAAAAAAAAAAGATTAGCAACAGTTGTTAGGTCAGATGCCAATTTTTAAACAAAGAAGAATCAGGATGCCACATGGAGGAGGCGCTTTTTTTTGCCATTGAATCTTTTACGTGGAAAGAAATGTTTTGGTAGGGAGAGAAATTTTTGAGCAGGGTCACTTTGATATGATTGCTTTCACTTCTGAACATTTGCCAATTGTCCACTTTCTCTCCCTTTAAAGTTTTATAGGACCAAAACCCCCAAGCTCTTGTATTCTTTCCTTCGGTATCTCTAGCTCTCCCACTTAGGGTGATACCACTTGAACAGGTAGTTGAGACGTTGTGAAACACCTTGGAATCTTTGGGAGTTAGGAAGAGTAAAGAACTATGAAGAGAATGTCCAGGCAGGAACAATTTGCGAATCTTCAGTACTTGAAAATGATTCTTGAATTGGTAGAATCTGGGATGGCTATCAGCACATTTAGATGATTTAAATAAATACAAAAATGTTTAAGCTGCTGAAAACATTTGGATGTACTTCATGTTTGGGTGTCTAAGGAGGACAAATATAATCCAGGCATTATGGGAGCTGTGCAAGAAAGAACTTGGGGATACCTGCCAAAACAGTTAAGCTAGCAGATTCTGGGATGTCCAATTTCCTTGTGTTCAGGTTTTTTTATAGAGGCTGTTTCCACATCAAGTTTTAGTACCATTCATTTTTGTTATATTTTTTGATACTGTTTTACTTTATTTCAGTTTGTTAGTATTTTGACTTCACCCAAATAGTGATTGCCGGCACTTAGTATAATGTTATAGATCCAATCCAAAAGGATTTTCAGTGCTTCTCCTACTGGAAACAAAATATAAGTGTTATTAGCTGTCACTTCTTTTGAAAGTAGGTGGAGTTGAGACAAGTTCCGCTGAACAGAAAACCAAATCCTTAATATCATCAGCAGTAATAATCTTGTCAATTCAGCTCTATGTTTTTGACTATCTGAACAAGGTCATGCTTATCCTAGTATCCATTTTAAATTATGAGTCATAATTCAGGGGTAATATGAGATGGTAAAATAAAGCTGTCTATTCTCTCTGAAAGTATGAAAAAATTTTCCTTTTCAAATTAGTTGCTCCAGGAAGAAAATGAATCAGTACATTATAGAGTAAAATCAATTCACGAAGGTTATTGTTTTGTTTTAAATACATTTTAATTAACATTTCATTTAAATCAATTTAGTAGGTCCAAGATCATGGTGGGGAACAAAAACAAAAAGCCAAATATACCAGGATGTCAAATTAATCAACACATGTGTTTGGAATTTCTCCTCTTTTCCAGGTATTATGCCAGGCATTAGCAAAGATGAATTAAATTTCAAGAAACCGACAAGTTAGTAGTATACGTCAACTAATAGAATATCAGTTAAATAGGGGAAAGAGAGAAGTGGGCTGGAATAGTTAGGAAAGCCTCTTTGAAGGGACAGGGACTTGAGCTAAGCCCCTAGGATGGATAATTAGGGTAATGTGAACGGAAAGGAAAAGCATTCCAGATAGAAATTATTTCAGTGATATTCCAGATTTAGTTTATTTAGTTGATAGGCATTTTTACTTGTAACCAGCGTAGACTAAAATTAATAAATTTCATAATCTTTCATTTTACTTGCAGAGATGAGGGTAGAATGACTTAAAGAAACTGGCAACTGCTTAAGAATTTGGATTGCACTTTGATTTCTTAATCAAAAGTTATCCAGGAGCTTGTTTTCTAAAGTGTACCTTACTGCCAATTGGCATTCTAGGTTGGGTACCAGGGTAGCATTCCACTGGCATGTTGCAGTGCCATCTGAGGTGTTTTTTTTTTTCATATTACTGGAAGTGTCTCCTACTAATCATTCTCAGGCTACTTTGATGGTTTTATTAGAAGTGGAATAAGCATGATAGTTGAGCAAAAAGGCTAGAACTCTGTTTGACTGTGTAACTTCTGTTTAAAGGTGATGCTCTGGAACCTTCAGAAAGCCCGGCCACTCTGGATTACAAATTTACAGGAGGAGGAAACAGAAGAAATGGAAAGCCCACAATCACCTGGTCAGCTTTTAAACCCTGCTCTAGCTCACTCAGTGTCTGTGGCGTCGTGCGGCAATATTTTTAGTTGTGGTGCAGAAGATGGTAAGGTTCGAATCTTTAGGGTGATGGGAGTCAAGTGTGAACAAGAACTGGGATTTAAGGGCCACACTTTGGGAGTATCCCAGGTTTGCTTTCTGCCAGAATCCTATTTGCTGCTTACTGGAGGAAATGATGGGAAGATAATATTGTGGGATGTAAGCAGTGAAGTTGAGAAAAAACAGAAGAGTCCTACAAAACATACCCACAGGAAGAAAACTAAAAGAGCAACTTATACCAAGCAGGGTGGAAACGCTAATGCTTCAGTAACAGATGAAGAGCATGGCAAAATTTTACCAAAGCTAAGTATTGAACATGGAGAAAAAGTGAACTGGCTCTTGAGTACAAAAATAAAGGGATGCGAAAATATATTAGTAGCTGATCAAACTAGCTCTATATCTGTATATCCCTTAAATGGGATTTAAATCCAATAAAAACATTTGAAAAACTGCAGCAAAACTTTTTTTAGGTTAAAAAAAATCCTGATTCTTTGTTTAAACTGTTTGTTGTATGTAGAATAATACCATTCCATGGTATAAATTTTAAGACATTTGAGCAAAAGAAAATAATTGGGTAATACTTCATATAGTAAATGACATATTAAAATTTGGGGGAAGAGAACCAGTATTCACTGAGTACAGACCAGGTACCAGCCATTTTACATATATTTCATTTCTTATTTCAAATCAGTGAAGTGGGTGATTTCCCCCATTTTATTGCCACAGGAATTGAGACTCAGAGACATTAAGGAACCTGAGGATCCAGGAAAATTTCAGGCACAATTGGGTATCTGCAGAGAATCTTGGTTGTCTTGTCAAGCCTCCTGCCTGAGGGAAACCCACATCCTGATCCAAATGTGGTTACCACATGAGTTATAACGTGAGTTAGTTTGGATCCTAGGATGTCATGAGGAGCCTTACCAAGTTGGAAGAGGAAACCTGTTCTTGCTTGTTCTGTTTAAAGCCCAGGAGGCTTTGCTGACAATTACCTTTTGCTGTTTCTGGGAAAAAGGTTCCGGGTCAAATCAGCTTAGGATATTATGTAGCAATCCAGATCATCATACGGGTGAGACCAAGAATAAGGTGAAGTCATGAATAAGCAGAAACTGACTAAGCAGAAGATGTAAGGTAGAGAAGTTATAGAAGAGGTAAAGATTAGAGGCCAACATAGTGTGTCAAGAGTAAGTTCATTTTTATCATGGCCTGAATTGCTGCCTTCTCTGCATATTCTTTCAGCTTCTGCTTATACTACTTACTCTTACATTCAGAGTTTTGAAGGGAGCATCTCATTGGGTATCATTATCCTTGTGTCTTTGATAAACTCGGTTTTAGAATACTTGTTGCAAGTGACAAACCAAATTCAAATTGGCTTAAGGGAATAAAAAGAAATTCATTGGCTCATATAACTCAGAAGTCCAAGGATAGTCGGCATGTACTGCTCAGGTAGCTAAGCTGATAGGATGTGAGTCTATGGTGCCCCACCTTGTGGAAAGTCTTTCCTAGAGGTGAAGAGATAGAATCTTTGCTTAAGCTATTTGAGCTGGATTTTTAACTTGCAACTTAGAGAGTCCTGACCAATTAAGCAGGCAATTGGTAAATGTTGTTTAGTGATCTCATTTGGAATTTAAGGAAAGGAAAATACCATCTTGGCCCCTGAAACATTCATTGGCAAAGGACCCTGGCCTGAGTATTGACAGAAATAAGGTTCTGATCCCAGCACTGGGCAAGATTCTTGGCCATTTTGGGCCTTAGTTTCCTTACTTGAAAGTGAGGGGGTTGAATTAGACATCCCCTAAGGTGCCTTGTGTGCCACTGTTTTATGAAATGAAAACATTATCATAATATTGTGCTTAGCCAATGATTATTAAAATGTCAGGAAGGACTAATAATCATGGGCAATCTCTGGAGGTTTTAGAAGCATCTTTTGAAAAATTACCCAAGTACAGCATCATTTTAGCTACTGAGCCTGAATAATTCTGTGGGTGTAAGATAAGAAGTACTTAAAGCAAGAGTGAAACATCAGTCTTAAACTTCTTTTGGTTGCTGATAATGGCCACTCAAACTGCCTAAGCAAAAAGGGAAATTTACTCTCAGGATTGCTGGGCTGGCGTGGTGGGGGTTATGCAGGGCAAAATTCTCTCTTAATCTAAAGCAGAAATGTAGCTGGGCTTCACTTGAGTCTCTAACCAGGGAAGCCATTAAGAACCAAGGCAGCTGCACTTTCTGTCTCTTGACGAGTCCCTGTGGTCACTTGTCTCTGCTTCTCTCTATATAATGGCATTCACTTGACAGAAAGATTAACCTTTCAGGGCTACATTGGCAGCCCATTTAAATTCCAGAAACAAAACGAGCAGTGTCTAAGTTCCAAGTCCCTGAAGAGAATCTGATTGGTCCAACTTAGTCAAGTGCCTGTCTCTGATCCAATCAGCTCTGACGGGGGATGCTGTCACTTAGTATCAACATTGCCAAAGGGGCCTACCCCCATAGATGGGGAGCGTGGACCGAACCAATAGTACCAAAAGATCTACAACCATTGAAATTTTGGTAAATTTACAGTGTGAAAATTATATGCAAAAGGAACTGTTCTTAGGTCAGCCATTTTGCTACAGTTTGACTCAATTTGCAATCACAAGAGCCATGCCTAGGTTACTTTAGTTAATGAGAGGTTGAGGAAACAAAGTAAGCAAAAGAAAGCACCACAGCCTGAGCTTCCAGAGAATCAGGACATCATTTTGAATGTAGCCTAGGCTCTAGTAGTCAGCCAGCCATTCGGGTAACAAGAGCTTCAGCGGTCATTCTTAGAAGTGAGCTTCCGTGTTTCCCATCTGTGCTAGGCTGAAAATGTCCCCCAAAGATGGCAGGTCCTAAACCCTGGAACCTGTACATGTTACCTTATTTGGTAAAAGGATCTTTGTGGGTGTGATTGAGTTACAAATTGTAAAGGATTATGTTAAATGAACAAAATCATGGTAATTGTATACTTGCCTTTCTATTTTTATTAGTGTCAGGTGCTTGAGGGCAAGGTTTCTGCCCTGTTTTGTTTCAGAGCTTGTGGTGTGGCCTGTCCTGGATCCCCCAACTCACACGAACAGTGCTCATTAAATATCAAATGAATCAAGGGTGGCCCAGAAGTGGAAATGTTAAGAGATGTGGATAGAAAAGAATAAATAAAGGTCAACCTGAAGGAAGCTCTTGGCAGGCTTGCCTGGCAACCAGACTGAACCCTTTGCTCATGCTTCAGGTTATTTTAAACACCAGCCATCAGGGCTACACATAGCTTTCCCACCAATGTTCAATTTGCAGACACCCAGATATACTTATTTCACATTTGGTGTTCCCTTTCCAAATTACAATCAGTTTGTGGTCCAGGATAGACTATCCTGAGACTGATGCAATGCTGCCAGGTTGCTTCTCCCTGCCAGGAGCAGAAATCCCTTCAGGATTAATCTATCACCCTCTGGCAGAATTATGTATAATCCTGGTGCCTTAACCTATGAAGAGCTCCCCCCTTGGGGCTGGCCTCATGGCCGAGTGGTTAAGTTCTCACGTGCTCTGCTTCAGCAGCCCAGGGTTTCGCTTGTTTGGATCCTGGACATGGACATGGCACCACTCGTCAGGCCATTTTGCAGCATCCCACATGCCACAACTAGGGGGACCCACAACTAGAATGTGCAACTATGCACTGGGGGGATTTGGGGAGAAAAAGCAGAAAAAAAAAAGATTGGCAACAGTTGTTAGGTCAGGTGCCAATCTTTAAAAAAAAGCTCTCCCTTGACCTCAGTTTTCCTTTCCACAAGCAGAGAATTAGAGAAAAACAGAGTAAAACACTGCACATGGACTCTGTGTATGTGTATTTGGTGTCTGAACTTTCTGAAGATGAGATACCATGACACTTCATCACAAAATACTTCAATATGCATCTCCTGAAAAGGACACTTTCCAGTATAACCATAAAACTGATATCATATCTAAGAAACTTAGCAGCAATTTACCTTCTTGCTCTAGACCAGTCAGTTGTGACTTATACCATCCTTACTACACGAAAGTCCAGTAGTGGGAGAGGGTGGCGGCCAGAACTGCAGAGGACAGTCCCCTTGGCCATGGGCAGGGCTTATGGAGGTGAGAGGCTGGGGACAAGAAAAATCTTGTGGCTCACTTGCGATCTGAGCAGAGGTGGGTCTCCTTTGTAGCCAACGCTCTTCCCATGGCTGTCCCCAGCAGGGAAGATTGAGGACCTGTGTCTCAGCTGGAGTGAACAAGGTACCTGCTATCACTGCCACCACCTGGGCCATACTCCAGCCAGAGGAGCAAGATTTAATCTAGGCCCAGGAGAGCATGTGGGAGAAGTTCAGACCACCTCCCCAACACCTGGAGAGCACCTGCTATACTTTGGTACTCTTGGTAGAGGAAAGGGCTGGGCTGAGGTTTAATAGAGCCTCCATCAGGTTCTCTTCTCTATAGCCATAAGAAATGCTTGGGGAGCATGACCCAAAGTTCACCTGGGTATGATTTTCCTGTAATCATTCTAGCCAATGAATGAAGAAGCATCCAGAGCTTGCAGTGGTCAAGTAAAAACAAACCCTATTGACTTAGAAATGTTAACACAATAGGTCACAGGTTGGTAGTGATCTAAAAATTGAGTGCATTTTTGAAAGTTTAGCTACTCTGTTTAATCTTAGAATTTCTGCAAAGTACATCATCAAATATGCCATTTATTATGAATGAAACAGTGGAAGTGTTTGTAAGAGTTGTGTGCCTTCTGAGTCGACAGACTACAAAACCTGCAGCTACTTTTCAAACCTGAATTTATTCGTAAATAACTATATGTTAGACTCTCAGGAGTTCAATTATTGGATTCATTAAGTATTATATGTGAGATGAGCAAGATTCTTCGTTGTGTCTCAAGCCAATGTGTGGCTAAATAAATGCAATACGTTAATATGAAAAGTTATTAAGATGTAAAAGACAAACTGTTGGATTTAATCAATGAGTTCAGTAAAGTTGCAGGATGTAAAATCAATACACAGAAATAAGTTGCTTTTGTATACACTAGCAATGAAGCATCTGAAAAAGAAAACTGTTCAATTCACAATAGCATCAAAAACAGTAAACTACCTAGAAATAAATTTAACCAAGGAAGTCAAAGATCTATACAAAGATCTGTACAAACCACAAGATTTTGCTGAAAGAAATCAAAGAAGATACAAACAAATGGAAGGACATCCCACGTTCATGGATTAGAAGAGTTAATATTCTTTAAATGTCCATAATATCCAAAGCCATCTACAGGTTCAACACAATCCCTATCAAAATTCCAGCGGCTTTTTTCACGGAAATAGAAAAAAGAATCCTAAAATTTATATGAAACCACAGAAGACCCCAAATAGCCAAAGCATTCCTGAGAAGGAGCAAAGCCATAGTAACACTTCCTGATTTCAGACTATGCTACAAAGCTATAGT